CTTTAGTCTTTGCAACTTCAGGGATCTTATCTATGCACAATCAGCTTGTAACACTCCAAAGAGACAGGAAAACTTGAAATCGCATCATATGACTAGGGTTGGGTATCGTGTTTTTTTTCCAATACCGGTGCCAAATTGATACTTGTAAAACGGTCCCGGTGCCTGAACCGATACTTATTAAAAATAAATAAAAAATCCCCCCCAAAAATGATGGTTTGGCCATTAAAATAGAAATAGAATAGTGCGCAAATGTTAGAGGATCAAGGTTTTTAATTTAAAAAAACAAGCAGATAAAATTAGAAGTAGCATTAGAATAGAGAGTGCTAGAGTTAGAAGGTCAAATGAAGATGAAAGCTGTGTTTTCAGCCGTTTCTTGAAAATATTAAGGACTCAGCTGCTTGGATTGAGCAGGGCAGGTCATTCCACCAGGATGGAACAGTTAATGTAGAAGTCCATAAAAGTTTTATCATAGGTAGAATGCAAAATGTTTCAATACAAGCATTTCAGTCAAATGTAATTTATGCAATATTTCAAACCTTTAACCCACTTGGGAAAATCAACCCATGGCAACAGTTTAAAAGTAGCCCAATTCTGTGTTAAAAACGCGGACTTGGCAACCTTACATTCAAGAAGAGCTGCCAGAGTCAGCTTTGACTGATCACAGGTCGAGAATAAGGAGAGATGACTGACAAGACCATGCCGGAGTATTTGATGCTCAACAGATTCTGAGCTCAATGACAAATATCTGATCTTGTAAGATGTGCTCCCTTTACACAGAGTGTGAAAATACAAGGGAGGCTTAGCTTTAGGCATTTTAATTTAAGCATGTTTAGCTTAGTTAACGGAAGGCTACCTGCTGCCATCAGAGCAAGTGTAATTACTGCATTCACGCGCTCCTCGGATGCTCTCATTTCCCGAGTTGTGCTTTTAAGTCGGAATGGGACAACAACACAAGATTTGTATCATAAGAGCTTTCCGAGTTGAGTTCACGTGCATTTTCTCAGTCGGGAAACTATTTGTCACGTGCGGTGCCAGTGATGATGAAAATCGCGGGAGCGAAACATGTTGCGGGAGCAGGTCAGAGATTCAGTGGGAGCGGGATTAAATAGACAGCTGAATCCCTGACATTTTGGGCAATTAAACCGAAATCTGCGTTCGGATTCGGTTCTAGTACATACCAGTTACATGAACAGTTTTATATATTTACTTACTTGCTTTTCCAATTTGCATTTACTTTCAATACTTGAGTAAAAGTCTTAAAGTATGTGATATTTATTGTACTCAAGTACGAAAAGTATTTTTTTTTATCTTAAACGTACTTGTACAATAAATATCACATACTTTAAGACTTTTACTCAATATTCTAAACGGTGACTTCAACTTCTATCAAAGTAATTTTCTGGTAAGATATCTGTACTTTTACTTGAGTATGGCTTTCAGGTACTTCACATGCTACACCACTGAATTTACACCGTTTGCTTAGCCTAGACAAGTAAACACGTTCGCTTAGCTGAGGATGGGATAAAAACGCATGGGGAAAAAAAATGGTGTGATAAAGACATTTCTGATTTCTAGGTTTCATTTAACCCTTATGATGAAGCAAATACAAGTTCCACAAAATGTTTCAGCGTGAAAAACGTGTGACTCGGTTTAGCGGTCCTGCATACAGAAATACACAAAGTTACAAAACGCCAAACAAATCTTTGCACTGACCTGCGCGACTCAGTAAGATCCAGAGCAGAAGAAAACGCCACAGCATATTCATATGTGAACAAGTGAAAAGGATTCCTGATGATGGTGATTTTGCTCCTGGAAAGCGCTCTGGCTTAATGGTGATGAACCGACGCCACGGACGGACTTTATAAAGACGACATTTACCCCTGCGTCACAGCTCACAAATTGAACTGCATCACTGTAGCACACAGGGGTTTTTATCACAACCTAGCTAAAAACAAAGAGTAGCCTAATAACAATAAAAACATGTGTTTTTAAGAGAATTAAACCAAATAACTTGATTATGTACCGGTCATTACGGTGTAATAAAATAATACACAAACATGAAACACTGATCTGATTCGATCGATTTTTTTAGCCCATTGCTAAGAAAAACAGTTCATCCAACCTAGCAAACGTCGAATAATACTACCAAAACAGTGAACACCGAATCATTACTTAAAATACAACAATGAAGCTACTTCCTTTTAACGGTTCGTTCCTAGCTATTTTCCTACTTCGTGCTCTAACTGGAGTTTCCAGTGCATTATCTTCTGTGAAACAATTTACGTTGAACTACAAAGTGGCACAGCCCAACAAACACAGAACGTTGCCTCAACGTAGCCAACCTTTTAGCAACGTTGTAACATGGCTGAAAGGTTGTTGCTTCTACGTTGTATCTTAAGGCTGTTACTGCGTTGTCATAATGTTGCCATTCAACCAAGGTGAATTCCTCCAAAGCCAATTTAACAGTCGATTCTTCGCAAGATTGCACGTTGGCAGAGCGCCAGTTTTCATGGTCGAAAGCAATATTTTATGCAAAAGCCAATATTCCTTAATTTAACGTTTAATTAAAACTCTAGCAACAATACAGAATACACTCAAATACTTTAAAAAGCAATTTGTAACCTATTTCATTAGATTACACAAGTTTTGTAACTTAATTTTAAAACTGTAGAATATAAGGTGTGTGTAATGTAAAGGGTCCTCCAGAGAAATTACATCTACCAGACTTCTTGGGGGGTGTGGGACAAACAAACAAAAAAAACCACCTATGCTCAAATAGGCAACAAAATGCATTAACAGCTGGGGTGCGTAAACTTTTTGAATTGGATGAACATTGTAAATTGTACTTGTCTTCTGGGAGCATGTAAGTATTAGCTTCATCTCAAAATCATAGTCATTGATGGAAAGCATTCAAATCAGCAAAAGATGGTGGAAAACCAAAGAACATGCAGGACCTGGAGGATCTTTCTGAAGAACAGCAGACAGCTTAACTGCTCAGGACAAAGGACTCACAGACAACCATCACAAAACATGAAAACAGTCGTGGATCATTCAGGTAACAACAGACAGTTAAGAATAAAGGGTATGTACAATTTTGAACGGGGGCATTTTTTTTAAATAAATTGTCTTTTTTCTTGGCGTTATATGCAGACACCTGTTATGTGCAATAGCTTTTTAAGGTTAGTATTAAATAAAAATAACATGCAATCCTTTCATCCATCAACTGATGATAGACTAAGACTATACATCCTTCAAACTTCTAGCTTTTATAAGTACTTCTAATTGAAAATCTTCAAACTTTTAATTTCAATCTTACTATGCTCAAAGTTTGTCTTGACAAACTTTAGTTGATTTTGACATTGCAGCAATAAGTTGCCAATATTTCTAAATAATGAGCAGGGCAATGTAGACGAAGTTCACCACAACATTAGGCAGAGCATTTTCTAATTGCTTATATCCCTCAAATTATCACTAAAAACATTTTTTCTAACTTAAACTAGTAAACTAAGTTTTTTTTTTAATAAGCCCCTAAATTTAGGCTAAAAAAAAAAAACTCCGACTACAACAGCCAAATAAGCTCTTCACTTAAATATCAAGCATTCTTGTGCACACTTCTGCAATACGAACTCATTTTAAATCAATTAGGAATACAAAATTTAATAAAACCGTATAAAATCATTTATTGGGATCCAAAAAAAAATGCATGTATAAAACAATAATAACTTACAAATACATCATTTAAAAAAAGACTAACATTCACTAAACACTCCTGTGTCACAAGTGATTGTATAAAAAGGCGCGGTCATTTTCCTCTTCAGTACAAAATGACACCAAAATCCTGCAACACAGAGAGAACCAATTAAAATGTTAAAGTTTTTAGAGACGATATAACTTTTAGGCCTAAAATTTAGACAAAGTTGTTGAGATAGTGAGTTGGTGGGTTTTTGTTAAATGTGAGCCAAAATATCACAATTAAAAGAACCAAAGACTTAAACTACTTCAGTCTGTGTGCATTGAATTTATTTAATACACGAGTTTCACAATTTGAGTTGAATTACTGAAATAAATGAACTTTTCCACGACATTCTAATTTATTGAGATGCACCTGTATACAAAAGTAATACACAGTGTCACATTTGAACAACCTTAATAGGTCTCGGAGACTTGCCCTGTGTACTATCCACTCTATCTGCCCTAATAAGTATTTTTAATAGTATTAAAAATTACTAATATCACATAGAATTTAGGATGGATAGTATGCACATTGGGACGCAGACTTGGTCTTTGCCCCCTTAAAGATTAAGGAGCTGTACAAGCATGCATGACAATTACCTAGATAGAAAATGCCTTTCCAAAAGAATTCCCAAAACACCCACTGAGGGAACTTTGGTGCTACACAAACAACAAAATGCACTTTTCTAACAACTTAATATATAAACACATCATAATATATAAATACTGCCGAAATAATGCATATCCATTGTCAGGGTTCCAATACTCTTTGGTCCAATAAATTTGGACTTTTCCATGATTCTTCCAGTAATGTGGTTACAAGATAAGATATAAAGTCACAGAAGAGGAGCAGCGCCAGATGTCCAATATCAAGTCACAAAGTTAGTCCGGTGCGTGGATCCAAAAATAACAAATTTTCGGTCAAATGCGTGTGCGGATTGTTTTTTCTGCTGGCTACAAGATATGAAATAACTCGCAATAGAAAACTGGATTTCCACCCAGTATCATGTTGTAGTTGTACTATAGTCACAGTGTTGCTAAGTCCACAGTTTTCCCACGGAATTGGGCTACTAAAGCAATAAGCCCCAAGAAGCGAAGCGCCTACAACCAGCCAAACAATGTAGTTCCTCAGAAACGGTTGTGGTTCCAACAAAGTGGTTGCCAAGCAACACACAAATGTAAACAAAAGGTGAATGTTTGTAGAGTAATTTACAACAGCTTCGAACTTGGCTCGACCAATCAGAATCAAGGACCGGAACTATCCGTTTTATAATAACACCGTTTCCGCAGGTTGTTTTCCCATGTCCGCAGGTTTAAGCAACCACAATAACGTGATATTTGGCCCCTAAATTGCGTATTTTACCAAGAGAACCACGCCATAAAACGAGGGACCCCCCTCGAAACTTTTGAGTAGCAATTTGGCAGGTTTTGTGAAAACCTGGCAACCCAGGTTATAGAGTTCAGCACTAGATTACATGGACAGATTTGGACAATTAACCATTTTAAACCAAAGTTCAGGAAATGAACCTAAAAGACCATAGAAGTCAACCGTTTTAACAGGATTCAGATCATAAGCAAAATAGACCTTTCAGTATCATGGTTACTAAATATGTGAAACATGAGGGAATTTGGGTGAGGGGGGGAGGGTGTTACAATAATTTTGATCAAGAGAGGATCTTTTTGCCACAAATTCTAGTTAATGTCACTTCACTGGACTAAAACATGCCGACTTTGTAGAACAAAACTTCCCCTCCCAAAAATTGATAATTTTTGTACTTTTTTGGGATCTTTTTCCCACCTGGTTACACTTGTGGTGATTGGCCAACAAAAAATACCTTTTAAATTCCTTATGACATCATTATCAAATATTGGATTAATTTCTTTTTGGAACTGACTGATCTTAGTCCTTATTGAGTTGAGCTGATCCAAGATTTGGTGATAATATAGCATAGAGATTTATAAGCCATTTTTGACTAAATGACAGTTTCATGACACTCAAAATCACAGATCCAGTTAACTAAGATGTTATATAGAATTCTTATTCATGTACAATTTACCAAGGATACTTTTCGCATTTGCTTGTTTAAAATATTGCATGCTTGCAAGTCGTTAATTATGCATATATACACACAAACAATTCACCTGTAGCAGCTGCCTGGTAAAGCCAGCCTGGAAAGAACCTCTCGGCATCAGTCACTGAGTAGCACAAAAGATGAGTTAGTACACAAGACCTCACAATCAACAACTCACTTTCACAAACAAGTCCAACTCTACACACACACACACACACACACACATCTCATTACATGCTTGTTAGATTTGAGGACATTTTTGTCTATTTTGTACAGCTACAAGAACACTTTAAGAAGTGTAATTTTGATTAAAAACTACAATCTAATTGGTTTTTAAAACAAGAGTTGCATATAAAATTACACTAAGTTTAAAAAAATTGTTATACACTAAGTTAAAAAAAAAAAAAAAAAAAAAGAATGTTTTAGGATGCATTAGCCAGGTTTGGAAAAATTTACTTTTGAATTTGCAAACAACGGAATTTGAATTTGCAATGATTGTGTAGAAATGAGTAAGTGAACATTTGTGCCAAGAGAGAAATTTAGGGTTGATTTTTACCTTTTTTTGAAGCTTGCATTACACTTTACGCCGCCTTTTCCAATTTTGTTGTTTTTTTTAAGCCAGCGAATGCAACATTTGAATCATCTTCATGGTCAAACTTTCTTCCTGGGCTACAAAAGCCTTTGTGCCGAGTGATTTGGTTGAACAAAACATGGTTTCTTTTGCCTTTTTTTGCACGAAAATTACCAGAGCACCAAACATCTAAATTGTTTTGTGCATGTATACTTTACCTTTTAAAAAGGGGAAGCTACAGTATCTGCGCTTTTAGAGGTGACTCTGCAGATCTTACCTCAAGATCCTTTCAATAGAAGACAGATATGTAGAGTCTCCGCGACATCAGAGGGGATTTAGTGACTCTGATGCAACAGGGTTATTGCTTTTAAAACAGGTATAAACACATAAAAAAAAAATCCAGGATTTTCTTAGCATTGTGTATAAATCATTGTTAATGTTGAATAGTTTGACTACTATTTGTTAAAGGGGTCATATTAAATCAAATCCACTTGTTTTTGAACCAAAAACAGGCA